ATGTCACTAAACCAACTGTGTGCTTATTCCTCTTTCCTGTAAACCCACTCCTGTGTGTGTGTGTGTGTGTGTGTGTGTATATGAGTGTGTGTTTTCCAAACCGACACACCTTTTCCGTCCCCTCTTCCTGTCCAACGTGAAGCACTTCACACATGTATTGTAATGGTAGCTCTCTTGAAGCCCCCCTACCCGGTTTGTATACACACACACACACACACACACACACACACACACACACACACACACACACACACACACACACACACAGTCACTCAAGAGCATAGTGTTAATGGTCGACCCCTTTAAGCACTTAAGGATTGTTCTCAAGCTGGTGTGATTTAAGGGATCACACCATATTTGATTTGTTTGGACTTACCAGGACAAACACACTTACATGAATGACTGGCCCACTGACCCAGCCTGAGTGTGTGTGTAGGGTCCAGTAAACTAACATATGTTGCCATTGAACTAACCAGGTCAATAGAGCAAACAGAGACACAAGAGAAGTGCATTTGGGGCTTTTGGAAAGAAAGTCATGGGGGAATTGTTACCTCAGGCCTAGCGTCTCACTTGGTCTATAAGTGCATTGACACACAATCAGAATGTGTTATCACCACTGTGTAGGAGAGTGCTTTGTGAGTGTACACACCCTCCTGAGGTTTCTATGTCACCCAGTGGACAATGATAATAACCAGAGGGCTAAAACTGAAACCTGGTAAGACTTACACACACCCATAAACACACACATTGCTGTGGTGATGTCATGTTTCCCAAAGTATTGATTATAAAGTACTCAAAAAGCAATAACTTGAAGACAAAGACGAAAATAGTGCAAAAGGGCATAGTTTTTATAATGAACCTCCTGGCGTTTTAATGCATTTCATTCCTGCTCTCTGAATTTGTAATTATCTAGTGCATTGTTGTCTGTCCACCCAGAAACATTTTCTTTGACAGACTGAAACATGAAACCCTGTCTGTCTTTTTTTTATAAGCTCACTGACTGTGCAGCAAAGAAACTGGTCCGACTAGCCGGTGCACTTTTTCAATAACGTGTGTTTGACTTTGTGTGGAAAGGAGCTCAGAGATAGATTGATGTCTGCGACGCTTTTGTTTACCTGTTGGTATCAGACGCTACGCTTGTTTAATTTCCCAAAGGTGTTGCCTGGTCACTACATTATATAAAATCACTGGCACCTACATCCGATGGAAAACACACTGTAATCTTTTACCAAGTGAGAGAACACTGAATTGGTATTGCTCTTGCCTAATGGTGGGTGACCTGCAAGAGAGACATTTACAAATAAATTAAAAAAAACCTTTGATAAAGATTATTTTTTACTTTGAGTCAAGGCAGGATGGGAGGACATCTGAAAACCGCTTACCGTCTCTTCTTCTTGTGAAGTCATGTTACCCACTCATCTAATCCCAGGCAAAGTGTGGCTTTGACACAAATACGTTTTTAGTGATTGATACAATCAATCAATCAATGTTTATTTATATAGCCCAATATCACATGTTACATTTGTCTCAGTGGACTTCACAGTTTGTACAGAATATCAGTATGACAATACGACACCCTCTGTCCTTAGACCCTCACATCGTACAAGGAAAAACTTCCAGAGAAAACCCACAGTTTAAAGGGAAAATGGGAGAAACCTCAGGGAGAGCAACAGAGGAGGGATCCCTCTCCCAGGACGGACAGACGTGCAATAGATGCCGTGTGTAAATCTAAGAGATAATACATTTGCAACATAGATAGTCCAAATGTTTGGAAATGCATGTGTGTATAATAGGAAGATGAATCCACGAGGATATCCATCCAGGACTTATGATCCAGGACCACAGCCACGACTCAAGATCCAGGGCTCGCGATGCAGGACAGAGGAGCGCAGGATCATCCATGTCTCCGGAACCCGGCGTATATAGACACCAAAAAGAAAGACATTTGGGGAAGCTGGGTTAATCGGAACATGAGAGTACACAGGTATAGACAGAGAGAAGGAAGAAGTAAGATGTCCCCCGACAAACTAAGCCTATATCAGCAAAACTAGGGGCTGAATCTAATCAGCCCTAACTATAAGCTTTATCAAAAAGGAAGGTCTTAAGCGCACTACATACAAACGCATACAACATATCAGTAAAGTGTCCATTTGCTTCAGTGTGAGATCTCATATGTCTGCAGGTCAGTTCAAGCTCCAAAAACACAGACTAAATGGCACTGCAACCAGACCCGGCGGCAGACATACATCTCTGGCGGGCATTTGGTTTACCAGGGCGGGCCCACCCCGAAACGTACATTTACCGGGAAATCTGAATTGTCAACGGGGCCCATGACGCCGGGTCTGACTGCAACCAGGAGTTATTTTCCTTATCAATGAATCAGCCATTACATTTCCCAAAACCATAATGTATTGTTCTTCTCCACCAGACTGTCAAAAGGAAAGGAAAAGTTAACTGTTCTTATATTTGAGAAGTGCAACAAGTGACTTTAACTTCACAAAATCCTTTTTGCGATTCATTTTTTATTTCAGTAATTGTTTCAGCATTTATTCATGCGGATAGTTATTGAGATATTTCAGCCTGGAGTGGTCAAGTGGACCAACCAACATGAACATCCATAGAGAAATGCTGCTAGTTGACATATGATGACTTGGGGTTAATACATATAACTGCCAGTTGCTTATTGGTCTCTTTATTTTTAACACTTGCTAAATGATTGATCAATGTATCCGAAACTGAGTCACTACATTTATCCTCAATTAGAGCTGTTTTTAAGTTGCAGCCTTTAAATAAGGCGTGTGTAGTCCCTAAAACATGTAGCTACATGCAATATTCATGTTTGAAAGAGTCACACCAAGTAGTGCAGTGACGTCTTCCTCTGCATGACTCATAACATGAGACGCTCCTTTGGTTCGGTAGGGCATCAGCTGTTGCACACACATCAGAAACACGATGAGAATCTGCAGCCTGGCCATTTGGTCATCACTGAATTTCTTTTTATAAACACTTTATAGGGCTGTCTCATTTGACTGCTTCATTTGACTAGAGTCTTTTTAAATAAGGAAGTTTCTCAGTGTTTGAATATTTAAAGGCTGAATCAGTGTGGATTAGGGCTGCACGATATTGGAAAAAACTGACATTGCGATTCCCCCCCCCCCCCCTGCGATATATATTGCGATATGAAAAAATACAGGAATTGAAGAAAAGACCGTTTTTCCCCCCCGCAAAACCATCCTTTCTTGAACTTTAAGGCTATACAATTGGTATTTTTTTAACTATATTTAACCGGATGAAGGATTTTAGTCACGGGCGTCTGGATCTTAAGTTATCAGAGCAACAAGCTGAGCTAGCTCGGTTAGCAGCGCCGAACTGCCCTAAGGGGTCCGTTTGCTTTGGAGATTTGATTGTGATTGGTGGTTTGCTGTGCATGCAGAGCCTGCATGTCACTCACTCAAGTACCCCTGACATGAGAGCCGCGCAAGTTTTCCTTTTGTAGCAAGCAGCAAAATAATTGTAACATGACGTGTTTGAGTTAATTGCCTACATAATATCACAAGTCCTAAAAAAAAAAAAAATTAAGATAAAAAAAAAAATCGTCACGTCCTGCGATGTTGAATATCGCGCATATCGCGATTATCGTCAGGACACGATATATCGTGCAGCCCTAGTGTGGATTTACTGCGGTCTCGAGTGTCATGTGTGTACATATGTAATGACCTTCCGATATGGGTTTTCCAGCACAACATTGAAAACACAGAACACACTTAGGGTAGCTTTTCTTATGAAAACATGGACTTCTATGTGAAGAACAATGAAGGCTTTTCAACCTGTGTAGGGCAGCAGTGGACAGGGTGGAGTGCTCGTAAAATAAGATTTGTATTGAAACAGTGGTTAACTATTAATTGAATTACAACAGTGTGCCATCGATCAAAGTATGCCGTTCAAAATGTTGTCTCGCTACCCAGGTATTACACAGGAATGATCAGCAAACCAGAGGACAATTGGCTTTTAGATTAGCCGCTTCAATGTGTCTTTTATACACTGAGGTTCAAGCTGTAATAATATTACATTTGAAAATAGTTTCCAAAGGATGACGGCTCTGAAATCGAAACCTCTTTGATCGGCTTCCCTTCTCTGATACAGTGACGCATTCCAGCCATTAAGCCCTAAATGAATAAAGAGAGTCACGCTTTTCTGCTTTGATTCATTAATAAATAACAATTTAAGATGTTTGGCAACTTTACAATGGAAAAAATCAATTATCTCTAACTGGATTTCACTCCACTGCTTCACCTTGTAAACAGACATCTCGTTTTCTTTGTGAGAATGTGAAGGGATTGGACTCCTTACAGTGCAACGTTCATTTCCCTCTGAGGCCTTACAGTGGAAGAATAGAGCTCAAAGTCTAATTGAAGGATTACACTACAATACAAACACTGCAATATGTAGTGTTTATTGCGAAAACGATAATTAGATATGGCCTTTTTTAAGTAATCACAGGCCTAAAAAGATAATAACGACTAACTTAGAAGTTGAATGCGCTCACATGTAATCACTACATCCCCAGTTTAAAACATGTCTGTTTCTCTCCACTCCCTGTTGGCTGTATTCTTAATCATTATTCCCGCCAACAACAATAACTTTCAAAAAACTACTTTGAACACTTTTTTGAAGCACCCTCTGTTTATATTTGAGTTGTATTAGTTTGTTATAGTGAATTTTTTACTTGATTATTTAAATGTAACATTGTTTATTCTATAGATACTCTATATATCTATATATTTCTCCTGTGTATGTATGTATTTATTTCTTTACCATTATAACCTGCTGTTCCCTATAACCAAATTGTCTATATCTACCGTAGAAAAGCTTGTTTAAACTTCCTTTTTCTTTACTCTTCAGGTGGCGATGCCATGCTCACATTGACCTTTGCCGTGAAAGCCTGACCTCTGATTGGTCAGCGCTGGGAGTTCAAACACCGTGAGAGAAGACTAGCTACCATGTCTGTTCAGGACACATCCCGGCGGGCCACGACGCCACCACCCCTCAAACCTGAGACCAAACCGCGACCGCACATCCCTCCGAAACCCTCCCCACAATGCACCTCCCCTTCTCTGGGGGAGAGAGGCAGCTTCTTGAGGCTTTCAGGAGGGGAGGTGAAGAGGATCGTGAGCCAGTTTAGTAAAAATGACTCAACTGAAGCAGAGGAACAACCCACCAATGGTGCCGCAGAACCAAAGGCCGTTAAGCGCTTCAAGAGGCCGCCTACGGTGAAGCCCAAACCGAACCGAGCCAGTCTGCAGCTTCAGCTCGGGGGGGAGAAGGCCCCCCCGCTGCCCGTGAAGAGGAGCCCACACCCTCAAGAGGCAGAACGAGATTGAGGGGGAGGCGGACAGCATCGGGGTGGAAGGAGGTCGATCAGGTAGGGTCGGCTGACGGCATTATTCTCTCTGCCCATTGTAACTTTTATATTTATTTTGCACTTTTGTAATGTGTCACTATAGTTTGTCATGATTGTCACCCAAACAAGAAGTACAAAGTGAAGTTTCACCTTTATGACCTTTACAATAGGTAAAATACCCACAGATTAAAGCAAGGGCAGTATTACAAAAGAAAACCGTTGTCACTCCTCCAGCTCGATATCAGGAAGGCGTGTCACGTGATTTCTAGAAAATGAAATGGCTGCCATTCAGACCTGGCAACATTTAAAGATACTCATAGCAGCTTTTATCTGCAGGAGCAAGATCAGATGAGACTGTAAACAGTGTTTTACTCACTCACTAGTTGGAGATCAAAGGTCAATCTCATTGATAAAACCGAAAGAATAAAACATTGTAGGGGAAGGAAGCAGAAGGTGTGTTTGTGCATGTAGAGACCATAGATAGAGACTTTTGCAAGTGTCTGCCTTATTCATTTTAAAGTGAAATAAGCGCATTTAAGGTATTGAACTGAATGTAACCTCTTAAACAGACAGGTGTGGTGCCACTGGCAATACTGAACCAACGGCCCTAAACAGGTTCTGATAGTCAGCTGATCAAGTGTGTGTGTGTGTGTGTGTGCTACTCCTAAGTAATGTGAAAGCAGAAAGGGACGGTTACTGTGCTTACTTGGACTAATAGAAGAAACCATGGCATTTCTTTGATGTCCTTATCCTCTACTCGAGTCGTAAAGTCAAGGACATTCCATCTCAGTCAATCTGTAGCTCCTTTACACCAGACATGTGTTGCTGTGTCATGATGTCCATCTTTGGCTCAACACTATAAGAAAATACATTCATTGTATTGTCTTTTCCTGATTTATTGGAAATAGTGTATGACCCACCCCCAGTTACTCACACTGAGCTTTCACTTCCTCCTATTGGTTCCCCATCAGCAACAGGAGGTCTCTGCGCAGGACGTTCTGTGGTGATATGTCATCTTACCATCAGTATCCATATTAGCTTCAAAATCCAATTATCTTTCTACTGGAGGTTAGGACTGAAAATAACAATTATATTACCTGTTCATCAATCTCAAATTAGAGCCCATGCACAGTTAGATCTTCAAATTGCATTTGTTTGATTTCCCTAAAGTCCATAAAACCCCAAAATATGAAATGCAGTCTATAAAGAAAAAGCCGAAAACCCTCATATTTTAGAAGCTGTGTCCAGATAATGTTTTTTCCCTGAAAAATAACTTTCATGATTCAGTATAAAGTTATTGCTCTGTGTTTGGAAGCCCTAGTTGTGATATCTCAGAAATGATGGAGATGGAGTTAAAGTTAATGCAGCTTTTCAATTGGTAACTACAAAGGTTTCATGTTGTCTCTTAAAATAATGCAATGCGTGTCTGAAAACACAAATACTCTGTAGCATCGGATATCATAAGTCGTCTGTGTTGGTCTCATTGACCCAGGACTCTCCCTCCTCTATTCCCTCTCTCGTTCCTCCACTTCTTCCATTTCCTTTCGTCCGTATTGGATTTCTTACACATGCAACCTTCCAAAAATCTTCATGAATATTTTAGGAAAGCACTCTCAGAAAAGCTGTATTCCTCTAGTGCTGAACTGCTGACTTGACGGTTCAGGGTGTGCAATGTGAAGCTGAGAGAGAGCCGTCCTGTCTGAGGAGACGCATGAAGGGAAGGAGGGACAGGAAACAGCTCCTTCTCACCCATTAGCTTCAGAGTCGGCTTCAGAGCCACACAGCTTTACACAAGGGAACTACTTTGGGTTAGAATGGGGCATACTGTACACAAACACAGTAGCAGGAAATGGGCTGTGGAAAAGGAGCAACAAATAGAATCTTATAAGAATAATTTAAATGCTTTTGTAAGAAATGTTCACAAGAAATGTAAACAAACTAAAATATGTGTAATATATCAGAATTTATATTGGAAAAGCTGTTTTTAAGGAATAGCATTGAACAGAAATATGCAAAATAAAGAAGAATGTGCAATGCAGGGGTCCCAGTATCTGTCAGCCTGGGTCCTATAATAATAATAATACCTTTTATTTGTATAGCACACTTTAAAAACAATGTCATCTCAAGGTTCTTCACAATTTGATGAGGAAAAAAGTGATCTAAGAAACACATCAAAACATTTTAAAATTCAAAACTAGGGAGTTGAGTTAAAAAAGAAAATAGGTTAAGAGCATCAAAGGTTAAAGATAATAATAAGGAGAGTCTTAAGGCTTGGAACAGCTATTAAGTGTCTCCTAATTGTATAAATACATCTATACTCTTCCTGTAGTGACATTATAAAGAGCTCATTAACAGAAGCTCTAACTATGTGTTGCTTCTTCTGATGCAGCTCCGGATGGAAAAGAGGTGGAGTCTCAGATGGTGGGAGGGGGTGAGGTGGAGGCGGAGCTTAGTCCTCACACCCCTCTGAGTCCCAGCTGTGAGCCGGGCTGCAGCTGTGCGTGTCACCGGCAGTGGCCCGGCATGAAACTCATATGGGTGCCCGTGGACGAGGAGGAGGAAGAGGAGGAGGGGGGAGACGATGAAGAGACTGATGTGGAAGAGCAGCAGCAGCAGGAGGAGGATGATGATGACTACTGGGAGGAGGATGAAGAGGTGGAGAGGGTGGGGGAAGGGGAGAGCGAGGCGGGGGACGAGGTGGACAGGATGTCGGTGATCGACGAGGACGAGGTGTCCAAGCAGGATAAGGCGAAGTTCCACCAGTGTTTGGACGTTTTAATCTCCGATGGCAACAGGAGGCGCTCGGACCCCGGCCCTCACTGTGTTCTCACTTCGCTAGCCGCCATCCGCTCCGAGTCCCCCCCTGTCCCCCCAAAACGGTCTCAGTCCCCACAGGTCCAGCCCGCCCAGAACGAGGAGGAGAATATTTACGAGGCCACCCTTCCCATGGTCGAGCGCGCTCCTAAAAAGACTGTGTGCAAGGAGCTGGATATTCCTCTTATAAAAGTGCGCAAACCAGCCCGCCGGAACAAACTGCCCTACAGCTCCTCAGACCCCACGTCCGACTTTCAGACTGAACCCCTCACCAGCCCGGACGAGGAGCCCCCTGCCGTCCCACCCAGGATGCCTGTTCACCCCGATGGTCGCAGCCTCACGCCCGTACACAGAGCTGGGATCCCCCTCCCACAGCCCACCCTGGAGGAGTGGCGCAACCTGCGGCCCGCGTCCCCCTGCGGCTCTGTCTCCAGCGGCCTGAGCCCCCAGAGAGCCCTCACTCCTCCACTCAGCCCTTGCAGACCCCCCCCTCCGCCACCAAAGACAGACCCCAGGAGGCTCAGCAGTGCCTCCATGCAGTCCCTCACACAGAGAAGAGGTTAGCACCGAGCTAACCTTATTATGGAGAGGAGCTATGAATGATCCGCACGTTGATGACCGTAGTACTTTGTCTTTTCAGAAGAAGAGCAGAACGGGGGGAATGAAGGCGAGACAGCAGAAGAACCGTGAGTTATCACCCCCACATTTCAACTCACCTCCATTCTTTTTAGGATGATGATATTTTATATTGTTCTATTTTTCAAAAATCCCAACAAAAGCCGTCTGAGTTTAGAGTTGATCCAGATACATAGTATTTAGAGACGCAGTAACTACCCTCATATTCAGAATCAGACTTAGCATGTCCCAATTCCTAGTTTATCAAAGTATGCATGGGCGGAATATATCAGTAAGTCCTGCATCCAGTTGCATTTTCTATTACACAAGCCAGAATGCTGCTCTGGCTTTTTTGACCCATAATCCTTTGCGCGGCAGGTATATAATCCAGAGGGTCAAAATTCAAGTTAGGTCGAAGTATATTGTCTCAATTGCATGTATACTGCGAAACAGCACATACCTTTTAAGCTCAGGTATGTACTACAACGTATGTGATTTGGTATGCAGCCATTGTTGGGTTTGTATCAATAAGACATTCTTCTCCTCTTAGTCAACATTGGTGTTGTTGTGTGTGTGTAATGATCAATAACTGTGCCAGTCACTCTTTTGTTGAACATTTCCATATCTCCCTTGTTAATCCTATTTTCTTCGTTCCATACTCTTTCAGGCGTCCAATCAGGAGCGGGTCCCTCAGGAGGGAGACTTCGTTCAGCTGGGAGTCCCGCCTGCAGGATGGTAGGCTGACAATCTGTTATACACAAAACAAAGATGAGTCACGCTCATTCCTGTGACAGGATACAATGTCAGTATGTTGCTATGCTAACCATGAACACTGCTTTGTAACAACTCTGAGCACTTTGAGAGAAAGGCTGAAGACTATTCTATCTTAGCCAATAACTATTCTATCTAACTCTACAATGTAACTTTGAATTAGATTGAAATACCTGTCTTCCTCTATGTTTAACTAATATTCTCTTGGCTTTTTAATGACAGTTCTTTGTATGTGTTTAATGTAATGTTATCAGAAACAGGTTTATTACCAGGTAGGTTGACACGTACGAGGAATTTGACTTGATGTCATGGTGCGTACATAAAAGCAAAACAAAAATTAGAAACACAGATAGAGAACTAGAAACATATTTCAAATATAACAGTATTTACATAGAAACAGAATGGAAATGATAATGTTTCGTTCACACTGAAACCCTTTTAACTGCCTTTAACATGTCCTTGCCTCAGAGCCTCTGTACCAGACGTACCGAGCCACTGTCATCACCAAGGAGATCCGACGGCAGACAGTTTGTCGCACCATCAGCAAAACCAGTGTGGACTACGCCATGGACTGGACGGCCCGTCACCCAGGGGCCAGTACAGGGACCGGAGCCAGCACTGGGTCAGGGACCAGCACTGGGTCAGGGTCCGGACCCCCCCGGAGCAGCACTCTGCCCACGCCGGGTCAGAGCACCCTGTGGCAGGACCTCCCAGCTGTTCGGGAGGCTGGGGTGCTGGAGCAGCTGACCCCGGAGCAGTGCAAGTACCAGGAGGTGAGGGAGTGATGTGAGGAGGGGGGGGGGGCTAATGCACTGAGGAGGGATCAATGATGATGATGATGATGAGGAGGAGGAGGAGGAGAGGAATGGAACATGCAGGATCAAGTTTGAAATCACATCTCAAAGTGATGTTTTTATATCTGCCCGGCTCATCACTCACTGCTGTATCAACTATTGATCATATTTCATGAAAGCTTTTACAGTCAACTTTCCAACATCAGGCAGGACACTTTGAGGAAATACATCTTTTGTTAAGTACAGGAAGGGTACTCGAAATCATGATGGTGTCATCAACACATCAATCCTTAGAAAGAACGCCCCAATGTTCTCATAGAGTGGATTCTTGTCACCCACAGTCTGTTTTTCCATGTAATATGTCACACTCCTGAGCATCATTTGAAGACGTGTGTGTGTGTGTGTGTGTGTGTGTGTGTGTCTCCCTGGCAGAGTATGTTCGAGGTGTTGACCTCCGAGGCCTCTTACCTCCGATCCCTGCGAGTTCTGACCGAACACTTCCTGGACAGCCGGGAGCTGGAGGAGACGATGATCATCAGAGAGAAGAAGACCCTCTTCTCCAACATCCTGAGGATCCGGGAGGTCAGCGAGAGGTGAGCTATGGCACAAGGAAGGAAGGAAGGAAGGAAGGAAGGAGAGAAGGGAAAAGGGAAATGTGGATTTGAGTGTCCTCAAAAATGTGATATATATTTATATATAATACATGTATTTTGTATCATTAACAACTGCGTATGTTCAGATGTGGACCATATGAATCTATTGCTTAACGTATTAAAGCTGTAAAGTTGAGCCCGAATTCGATTTCAATTCAAATGAAAGTGGTATTTTCATGACTTAAATGGTCAGTGTTTGTGTTAATTACTATAAAGCAGGTCTGAAGTATAAGTATATAAGTATGATATAAATAGTTACAATGGCGGTGTCCTTGGCAAATGTTCCCCATGGTACTGTGGGAGGTCCCTTGCCTCACAAAAAGGTAGTAGCTATGAATAGGGCATCGTCTTTGTTGCTAATGGTATAAGAAATGTTTAGTAAAGCCTTTTCTGTCTGACTCGCAGGTTCTTGAAGGACCTGGAGGACCGAATCTTCCATGACGTGGTCTTCTCTGACATCTGTGACATCATCCACTACCACGCCCAGCACAACTTCCCAGCTTACATCGACTACGTCCGCAACCAGATCTACCAGGACAAGACCTACACCTCGCTCCTGTAAGGAATAAAACGCATTATGCACACAAACGAAATGCCGGTCTCCTCCGTGTGCATTAATGCCTTTCTGTGCGTCTACAGGAAGAACAACATGCAGTTTGCCACGGTCATCACTCGTCTGCAGGAGTCTCCTAAATGCCAGCGGCTGCCCTTCATGTCTTTCTTGCTGCTTCCCTTTCAGCGAATTACACGCATCAAGATGCTCATTGAGGTGAGCAGCAGCAACACTAGTTACATTTTAGTTTTTTTACTGTAAGCAAGTTGATCCAGCAACAAGGGGATTAGCTTAATTTAGCATTGAAAACTGAAAGTAAGGTAAAAAAAAACACTAGCCTTCTTGCTGCTGCCGACAGTGGAATCAGAACTTGACTTTAAAAAGGTCACAGTAGTGTTTTTTGAGTGTTTTGTACTTTATTTGTAATTATTTTGGTCATTCTTAAATTCATTGTTTATCTTTGTAGTTGGTGTGAGTGTCTTTGTAGTCTGTTCAAATCTCTGTGGAGTCGTTGAATGTTAATTTGTTGTCATTTTGAGTATCATTCTGGTGGGTATGGGTCTCTTTAAGCAACATAATTGTAGGTGATGGTATGGATGAATTCATACCGTTCTTTATTCTTAGCTAACATAATTGTATAAATGTAAGACTTAATGTAGAGCAGGTATCCTAAATCAGTGTCACAGTTTAGTGACTGGCACAGGAATGCAGTTCGCCTTTGCAAACGCTACATTCTTTCCACCAGTGTCTGAACAGCATGCCGCAGTACATGCTGTGTAACTGACCCTGCTACAAGCCATCAAAAGGCAAAAGTCACCACGGTGCGTCGCTCGCTGAAATGTCCTCATTCCAGCGTAATCTTCCCGCTCACACTTGTCACTGCCTCTTGACCTATGAGCAAGCCCACACCTCGTCTCAACCTATTGACCTTGTTTGCATATAGATGGAAGAAATGTATCCTGTTTGTCCGTTGCAGAAGTAGAAAGTTGTTGTTTGTGGTTGCAGAACATCCTGAAGAGAACAAAGGAGAGGACAGCAGAGGAGCAGACGGCCTCCAAGGCTTTGGCCTCAGTCTCCAAGGTAAACGCCCCTCACCCCTCGTCTGCATACAAATCCATATCATTCGCATGCCGCTGGATATCCGACATCACCCATTGTCTGATTGAATGATTTCCTTTTGAATGAGCTCTGCAGTGAGAGTGAGTCATGCGTGTCAGCGAGGACAAAGGCAAACAGGGAGACATCAGTCAAAGCAACGAACCTGATACTCCCAAGGAGAGCTAGTTTGAAATAACAGCTGATGGAGGAAGAGTGGAAAGAAGTCTACCCAGTTAGTGCTTATTTGATCATCTTCCCCCTCTCATCTTCAAACGCAGATCATTGTCGAGTGTAACACGCAGGTGGGACAGATGAGACAGATGGAGGAGTTGATCCATATCCATCAAACGCTTGAGTTTGACAAGCTCAAGGTGAACTTGTGTGTGCAATATTTTGTTGTAAGTGCTTAGTTTATTAGAAGAATCCCGAAAGGAGCCTATATATTTGTGTTTTCTGCAGGCCGTCCCAATCATCTCCCAGACACGACACTTGGAGAAGAAGGGAGAGCTGCAGGAAATGTCCAAAGGAGCGACTCTCTTCCACATGAGGCCAAAGTTCACCCCCATCTACCTCTTCCTCTTCAACGACCTGCTCATCATCGCTGCCAAGAAAGGGTGATTATTACAGAGCCAGTGGCCTAGATCTTTGAATTGCAATGTCTCGGTCTATCAGTAGGTCGCACACTTTGTTCAATTCTGAAATGAAGTGAAATGAAGTTGAGTTTTTTAATGTGCAGGGCGAATGAATCCGAATGACTTCTTCCTCTAGCGCCATTCCAACTACCTTTTTCAAGTTCTGTGATCTTTTGCCTGCGACACAAATAACAAAGCAAAGAGCCAAACAAAATTGTACACATAAGGGACATGCCGATGTTCACGTTAGCTCATGTTAGCATACAGTAAGCATAATTGTGTTAGCATTAATCTGAAAGAACAGCCTCACACAAATGAACACTGTGTATAGCATGTTCTTTTCTTATCATGACAAATTCAGTCTTTGGATATATGGGACTGCATGTTCTTAATGTTTTAAAGTCATTTGCACACATGCAGTTCAAATAAAACCATTGAAAGACATTTAATTAACACAATACTGGTGTTTTTACACATATTTCAAGTGTAATTCTTTTTGTGTGATCATAATGTCAACGTTGTACTCGCCCAAAGTATGTCCTTACTAGATTTGAAGACTTTTGGGCCCAAATTCCCGCAGAACTCTTTTTGACTTCACACTGACCTACATATGACAATGCGTGTCAACTAACAGCGCTAATTCACTCTGCCATGCCTAAGTATGCACTTATGCTTGTAAGTTATTAAGCACAGCTGAGTCAACGTTACACCGGACCAACAGCGAACCACTACATGCCTCGAGCAAAACGCTCCAGCAGCTTCTGTCAAACAATACCCCACTTGACTTTGTTGCTGTTCAGTAACTGAAGTTTCGTATTTGCCTCAGGAAAGATGCTGTTTCAAATTCATACACTATGGGTCATCATTAACCCGGTGTGGCATTCATGAGAACAAAAGCTTTCGTAAACATCGGGAGAATGTGACCACTGACCGCAAAAGCAATCCGGACTCTTTAACCGTGAGTCATTACAAGTGAAATGACTCCAAACTTCCTCATGTGGCTGGAAATAGTGAAGAGCTCTAAGAGGAAGACAGGATTGCAGTACTAACATGCCATTGTTGCCACAGACGGAACAAATGATGGCAATATAAAACGCCCTAAATGCCTTTACCTCTGCAAATGTATATTCATCCCAAAACTCACCCTTCTTTTCTTCCACAGTACGGAGCGTTTTGTGGTTCTCGACCACGCCCACCGCTCTCTGGTGCAGGTGCAGGCAGCAGATGAAGGTGGGGGGGGCAGCAGCGGCCCCCTGGAGCACTGCTTCAACCTCACCCTGCTGGAGAACCACCAGGGGCGCATGATGGAGCGGCTCCTCAAAGCCCCCTCGCAGTGAGCAGCTCTTTGTCCCTCACCACAAAAAAACAGCCTCAATTTACTTTCAGGCGGCATTTAAATCCAACATTGTTTATTTATTCCAGGTCAGACATGCACAGGTGGATGGCGGCTTTCCCCAACCCCACCAACCCAGACAGAGATGAAGATGAAGTGATTTATGAGGACTGGGGTGAGAACACACACAAAGTGAATGTACAGTATGTGGTGGTGCGTGTTCCTATGCTCATTGTGATGTGTGTGTGTGTGTCAGATTGTCCCCAGGTGCAGTGTGTGGAGCAGTACGTCGCCCAGCAGGCAGACGAGCTCACCCTGGAGCCCACTGAGATCATCAACGTCATCCGGAAGACCAACGAGGGTAAGAACATGGATGGAAACCCAAACTAGGAGTTGTTCATTTGGTTTAATATAAAAGAAAGTGTGAGATGTGCCGTCATAAAGCTCACTTGGTAGAACTGCCCATAAACCAGTACGGAGGAACTGGGTTCAACTCCACCTCTCCAGTAAAGGCTCTTGTGACCCAAAGAATTATCAGAAAAGATTATATCGAACAGGATTGTAAACATTTCCTGTTTTACAGAACACAACCACGCACCTCAAACTTAAAAGTGATATGAAATCTGTGCTTGCGTCAAACTAATGTCCTCTTTTGGTCTATATTTGACCTTATTGTTTCAGATGTGGAACCTACTGACTCGACCTTGTGTTATTAACATGCCTCCTCCTGTTACTCTGCTTGTTTATACACCCTGATCCCCGTAACTCCTCAATCCTCTCACCTTAGCAGTTACTTGATTTGTTTTGACTCTCTTGCATGACAGAAACCTCCAATCTGCCCCTTGTTGTTCTACCCCCCCCCCCACCCCTTTTCTCCTCTCTCGCAGGCCTCTATGAAGGCATCCGCCTGTCTGACGGTCAGAAGGGCTGGTTCCCCATCGGAAACGTCATCGAGATCACCAACGAGCATGTGAGGCGGCGGAACCTCCGCGAGCGCTACAGAGTGATGCAGGCCGCCAGCATGGTCTCCAGCAGCAAGGCCAGCACCATTCACTGAGATACAGGAAATCACTCTTTAAAAAGGACCAAGAACTCTTGATTCCAGAACCAGGAAATGAAAGATAAAAGGAGATCATGACAGACCTTTAATCATCGCCTTATTTATATGACTAGAGTGCGGGCTGGGAGCTTGACAGAAATCATTTACTCCCGACACTGAAAACGATGTGAATGACTTGCATTACATAACAGCAGCTGTAGAGTTGACCTCCTGCTAGCATGTGGCTCTGCATCAGCTGAAATGCCGGTCTTTCTAGTCATTGCTCAACCAGATTGTACATATCAGACCTGCAGCCTGAAGACAAAAGGGTTTGGCTTTCCTGTAAACGCCCCTTGTGCCACAAGTTGAAACATCTCATTCCTGCCATGCACGACAACCTGTCATGTGTCACTTCTGTGGCCAGAATACAGGATATGACATGTTTTTATGGAACAACAATCTTGTAGAAGGCTCATAACTACTGCATTTTATCTCAGCAAAAGACCAACTTTGGAATACATATTATCAGGAAGTGCCTTTTGAATAAACTCTAAATCCCTATCAGGGCTTCTATCAAGCACAATAGCTTTGTAAAGGCATGTGGACCGAGCTGTACTGCCAGTCATTGTGCTGTCCACTACCTTGTGTCAGTAACCGTTGTGGAACAATAGCCCCCCCTGCTGCGTGGGGTCAGTAAAGGAAGGATATTATATGTTGATATGCTGTAAATGTATTATGTTGTAAATAATAAGTGGGGGATTCTCTCCTTCAGAAACAGTAGTAACGCTTTTAATAAAAGAAACATGTAATGCTTTTGATAAAAGAAACGTGTCTTTTAAGCTCAACTCTTCATCATTTTTACAGTAGGAAAATATATGCAACTCAAATGTAGACTTTAGAAGATATTAACTCTCATCCAAGAAAAATAAGGAAGTGTATGAATCAAGATCAACCAGTGGTTTGCATAATGAGGTAATAAAGTCCCTTTTTAAAGCTAAACACAATATATAAGAATAATCCTAAACTCCTGTGTCTCCTAGGCTCAGGAGGACATGCACAGCATCTCCCTCAGAATCTAAGATGTCCTTAACCTTAGTAAACTCTACAGAGGTGCCTAATCCTCTCCCTGCCTTTGAGCCTGAGGACAGTGAAGACTCCAGCAGATGGACTTCATCATAATTCCTTCCCTCCTCCAAATCCCCCCAGTCCTTTTTGGCACAATCGGTAGTTATGAAGGCAGGAGAAGTCTCCGAAACGTGTTGGCTTTCAGAGCTTCGGGATGAATCCTCATGACGCAGGTGTAGCAGAGGAAGTGTTACTGATGATTTGTTGTGGCCCTGGATTATTCCCTCCTGCTCCACCAGTCTAGAGCAGCTCAAGAGTGTGTTGGCAGCATCAAGCTCTGTCTCTGACCAACACCTTCCCTGCTGAAACTCAATGGTTTCCCCTGGATATTGCAGATCACTAAGGAAGCAGGGATTGGGAGCTGCAGTGAAGTCGATTGTTTCTGGATGACAGAACGAGTTGGGGTTGACACTGGTAAGGGTCTCATCCATCTGTAAAGGCTCTTCTTGGTAGTGCAGTGTCAGGAGGTTAGTGATGGCCTGGTCCTCCTCCTGGGTGAGCTGGAGCACAACCTGGCCTTTCTGCACTGCAGGGTGGAGGTTGTTGATTTCCAGAGTGAGGTGGCCCAGATTCCTGGTGGGGTTTGGTCCGAATTTGAATGGGTCTGGACAGGGAGGTGGAGCCGGGCAGGGGGACATAACTGGTGGGGGAGTGTTGAGCTCGAAGCACTCGAAAACCTGAAAGAAATACACGTTTAAAAGAGGTTTTAATAGAAAATAGAGCATCACGGGTAAGATTACAGTTCAATCATGAGATGGCTTGAAGCTGAACAGAGGAAATAAGAACATGGGTGTCTTCATGTTCATATAAGCAATTATTATGTGAACTTCGGTTTCTTTCAATAATACAATCATCGCAGGTCTTTCATATTTGTACCTAAAAGGAAAAACACTGATAATGTCTTTACAGTCAAAACAAACTGCCTCTTTCCTTCCTGCCTCCTGGTCTTAGCTCCACCTAACAGGACTGAGCCTATTTTATTAAAAGTCATCGTCTGCCTGATCCCCTCCATAAGCTCTGCTCTCTACAACAAACACTACATACAAAACACAGAGGACAGGACCTCAACCAGTGTTCAATACATTCTCACAATCCAGGGTTATATTGATCAAAAAGTTTGTTTTGCAGTTGGTATGAGTTCAGTATGCCAGTCCAGAAACACCCTGTGCCAATTCAATGTACCAGAAATATCCCCACATATTCATTTAATAAATGTTCATCATTATGCAAGTTGACTACTTTGAGGATGAATGGTTGAGGGCTCACATTGCCTAATTGTTAATGGCCAGTTTTAATCTAATACAGCTGAAAAAAGGCTTGAAAATGCATTGAACTCAACTTAAGGCAGTCTTGACAAAGGCCCAATTTATATTGATAGATTCTAAAACATTGATACAACGACAAACATCCAATATGTCAAAAAAAACAAATACTATATTTAAGACATTCAACTGAGTGTTCATGTCTTCCAGGGACTTAATTCTACGGATATTGTGGATGTCCATGGCAATCAGTTTATTAAGATATGAGTTTATGAAGTCCACTTACCCTCAAATCACTTACTACGTTAGGGATCCTTCCACAGGTCAGGGTGGGATCAGAGTAGAAACACTCTGCTGGGCCGAGGGGAAGGACTGGAAGAAGATGGAGTTGTCAGTTTTACAACATGATCATGGGATCGTGGGTCTAAGGACAGAGGGTGTCGGTTTTTTTCATACTGATATTCTGCACAAACTGTGCTATTGTATTTGCTGTAAAGTGTCTTTACTGTAGGGTATTTTTATTATATGTACAGCACTTTGGCTCGACCAAAAATCGTTTTAAAATGTGCTATATAAATAAAACTTGATTTGATTGATCATGCACAGCTAGTAACACAAACTCCTTTAATCGATCTAATCTAATCAAGGCTAATTATTATCATTTATTTATGATAAGGCAGGGAAACAAGAATCCTACGTCATTTATAGCATATTAAATATCCTATAAAAATATTGAGAGTATTACAAATTACTGATCATTTCTTACTTCTGCATGTTAAGGAACATTCATTTGCATGTCTGTCTGATTAGCAGTACAGTGCATGAGCAAAAGGTTAATTATTGCATATCTTGAAATGAAAAGCTTTAGTTTCATATTCCAGTTGTTCATCAAAATATTTTCAAATTAGATTATTTACACATTTTAATTTAACTTAATACTTAATTAAGAAATTGTAGTTGTTGCATTACTAACCCAGCCTTCCACAAGTGGTGAGTAATCTCAAAACTGTATTTGTTATCAACTGTAACAGCAGACACTTAAATCGGAGGTTTAATAAAGCTTTAAACCAGGGGTGACCAAACTTTTTTCACCGAGGGCCACATACAGAAAAACATACGAAGGTCTGGGCAGTTATATGTTAGCAAAATCAATCAAATGTAGGTAAATGATGCTTGATACTTGAAAATGCCTTAAGACAAAAACAGCCTTCATCACAGCTCTCCATAGGGTTTACTTAATTTTGTTGGCAGCTCATTCCTTAAAACAGAAGCTTATAAAAAGGGGAAATATGAAGGGTATATTTCAAGCTTAGAAAATGTTTCCAACTTTTATTGACTGAATTTATTTGAAAAGTGGGCTTATTAACACATGAATAATACTGTGTAATATATTTGTACATATATATTTAAGAAGTACAATATAAGACAAGCACACGTTTCATTTGTTGGCCGCATTTCATTATACTTTTTTTATTTGGCGAGGGCGATTCAAAATGGTCCGCGGGCCGTAGTTTGGACACGGACACTCCTGCTTTAAACTAATGTGGGTAACTTAAAAATCAGTTTACCTGTTAGGCTGCCACAGTCGGCGTGCTGGTGTGTAAAGCCTACAGCCAGGTACAGAGGCATGAAAGACGGGTGGGTCAGGGTCCTGTTGGAGACCGGAGGCAGGGTGGGCTGCCTGGGGCTCTGTGAGGAGAAACATGGGGACATGCGTTTCAACTTTTAAGTAAACATTGTGCAGGCGAGCGAATAAATGTGATAGAAAACTCACCACAGAATAACTTTCATTGTAGTTCATGGTTGAATTTTCATTTTTCAATGTTGTAATTCGAAGAGAGTCATAAGTGACATCTATGTTGCGTCAAAAAGAAAATAAGTGAAAAACAAACAAGAGTTGCTGTTATGTCTAAGCTAGCAGCTATCTGGCGACAGCTAGCGCCCCCTGCTGTTTGGCTTCAGAGACCCCGTTCGTCTGATTGCTGAGCACGAATAAACTAATAAAGATCTTAGATTTGTTTTCTTAGATTTTTTCTTGGACAGAATCTTGGATACTTAAATGTTGGCAAAATGACAAAAAACAATTAATAGTATAGCATGTCGAAAAAATGCAAAAACAAACAAACATGGTATTTTATGTCCATGTTTGCCATGCTATACTATGTCGTTTTTGTTCATATTTTTGCCATAACTATACTATGTTGCATTTTGTATATTTCCCACATACTATACTACTTCGTATTTTGGCTTATTTTCCTCATAGGGCTTACTATACAATTTCCCAGATTTGTTAACATAATGTACTTTGCCTGTTTTTCTCATTTCCTCATTCCATACCTTTTTCTTCATCTTCTGCTCTTCTTCTTTTTCCTCTTCTCGTACTCGTCCAAATAGCTGGCTCCATCCGAGTGGGTTTTCTGCTCTATCGTTATTTTTCACTTTTTCAACATACTAATAGTAATTCTTTCAATTTTTTTAACACACTATATATGTACTTTGCTTACATGTTATCTAAATACTATACAATACCGTTATTTCTGATATTCTCAACACCAATATTATGCTTTTTTTCTCACATTTCTAACACAACACTGTAGTTAGCTCAAATGTTTTAACATGCTATACTGTCATTCAGATAGAACAACACTATGAGTATCAAAACTGCAAGTTCACTTTGACTAGACGACCTATCATAATGTTCAAACATTTACAAGATCAATTACTACGTTTTCTAAATGTATTCACTCAGAGTACAAAGGTACAAATACTTTAAAGAAACAAAAGCACGTAATCAGGTTCTTTATACATTCCAAGATTGATTCACTTTTAAAGATACAAACCTGTGAATAAAGATGAATATAATGGATGGTGACTATATAGATTATGAGTTGGCAAAATACTGAAAATGACAGATTATGGGGAAATATCAGTTGTGAGACACTTTTCCTACATTTGACCTTATTGCTGATTAATTGACGACTGCATCTGGCTGGGCTCACAACCCAGTTCAGGTCAGATGGTTTGGTTCGTCTGTCTTTATGCATCTCCAGGCACATGGCCTAACTGCAGCCTCCCTGTGATAAACCTTTCTATTGAATAGACTTTTTTTTCTTAAAATCACATTATAGATTTTGACCATTTCACTTCTCCAATACGCAAAACCTGAGTGGTTTCAGGTGTTGAAAGCATCAAACAAGTTGTGTGGCATATCATTAAAAAAAAGCTAACGGTTTCAATATTCATAAGCAACAACTCTGGCCTCAAAATATACTTAAAGTAAAGTACCAAGAGAAAAGACTGGCCCATTTCATTATGTTGCAGTTTGTATATGATATGACTGGATGATGATTATTGATGCATTAATGTGTCTGGCACAGAGGTTAAATGTAGTGATGCATTTAATTACACAGTTAATGAACCTGTGGGAACATTTCATCACAAGGCACCTCTGAAAAGGAGTACAGGCACCCTAATTGTAAGACTAATTTGTCTGTCCTAAAGCAGATGAAAAAGAGGCCTTATCAGGATCAACGAGCTAATCATAAAAACATCTGTATTTTTGTCAACTTGAATGGCTTAACAATTAAATGATTGATAAGATTGATTAAGATTAAGTGCTCACAGCCATCACAAACCAGCAGAGCTCTCCTAACCCCAAGTTTCCACTGGGTCCGTCTGCGGCGCGTTACGGCTGCGCCGCGGTTTTGGTCCGGCCTCCTCCGGCGTCATACCCTACCGGGCGCGTTTCACGAGCGTTTCAGAAGCATTACGGAAGCGGAGCGTCGTGCTTGCCGGCTCGCAGTTCTTGTTGATTTGGGCATATTTCCTGGACATTTGTACTTCTACAAGAAAGTAAGTAGGCTACGTGGTTAAATGGTTTATTTTTGTGTCTGTTTAAATCGTGTTTATTGTTGTTATTTCCTATTTTGTTGTGTTGTAGACTACAGACATAATTAATAATAATTGTAATAGTCCAGTTAAAAACAACATGAATCAAATTATGGGTTGCTGTATTTTAGTGGTAAAAAAATGCATTCATCATCATAATTATTCTATACAATTTACACACAGTGCCTGTAAACCGGAGGAGAACGCTGGCCTTTATTCTCCTACTGGAAAGACTGCAGAGGAGGTATGGGGGGGAGGAGAAGGAACCGGTTTTGGGGGGTGGGCCGGATGCTGTCACTGTTCCACTTCCTGCCCGACATTACCTTACGGCTGCGTCGCGTCGAAAAATAGACTTCAATCCTATTTAGAGCGGAGCCCAGCGGCGAGACGCTTCTGAGCCGTAACGCGGCGCGTCTGGTGGAATAGCACCCATTGACTAGAGTGGCCACGATCCTGGCGGACGCCGCGGCGCAGCCGCAACCGCAACGCACCCGTAACGCGCCGCAGACGGACCCAGTGGAAACTAGGGGTAACGCTTCTCTTCACTTACGGCCCCTACACACGGCGGCGTGCGTTGCCGCTTCAACGCTTCTGCCCATGCACTTTGAATGGGGTGACGTCACGATTCGCCGAACTGCATTGTGGGAGCAAAGCGTAGCTTCTCTCGCGGTGCTCGCTGCAAAAGTAGAGCAATGTTCTACTTTTGCCGCCTCGACGGAGGCGTCAGCCAATCAAATCCCGCGTATGCAAATCTGACAGTACAAGCGCTAGCCAATCAAACCGTGTGTATGTTGGGAGAGCCAGACCGCAGTTATTTCCCATATGTCAAAAAATGGAGGAGAAAATTATCGTGGCGATAGGGAATCACCCGGTACTATATGACCAGTCCCTCTTTACATACAGGTATACAAACCGGAGGAGCCAGGCATGGGGGGAGGTGGCAGAGACAGTGGGTGAAACTGGTAGGTTTTCGCCTGTTTGGGGAGTTTATATCCAGTGTACTTCGTTTGAATGGACAGCTAGCAAGCATAGACAGTATATTTAGCCAGCATGGATGTGGCATGAATGCTTTGCTTTGTATGTCCGGGGCGGGACATTCATGTGATTGGTTGTTGGTCGCGTTGCTCGCGTTGACTCCCCAAGCTCAAGACATGCCCACCGCCAAGCGGCAACGCACGCCGCCGTGTGTAGGCTCCGTTACAGTATAAACTCCTCACCTCTTTTCTCCCTCCCTCTGGGCGGGGTCTGGTAACTTGGAAGATGCAGTGACTGGGTGTTTCTCAATGTCGAGGACGCTTCCTTGGTAGGACGTGTCTTCCGAGTCACTTCCTTCAGAAGCGAGGCAAGAATCCTTCCTAGCCTCGGAAAACGAAGAATGGTGGAGGAAGAGGCTAACAGGTGTGCAGGTGTGCGTCATATGAGAGGCCCCGCCTTAAATGGAGCGTGATTTCCGCCAAAGATTTGGAAATTGGTCCATGCGCAAAGCATTGTGGGGATTTTAAGACTGCGGAGGATACACATGTGCAGCCTCGAAATTTCTCGCTACGAAGGACGCCTGGACATTGGAACAGTCCTTCGGCGGGACTCGATAACGTAGCATCCTTGAAATAGTGGCTCTGGAGCATCCTTCGTCGACATTGAGAAACACCCATTGTCTCAAGGTGCGCTCCATCCAGTCACCAAAGCTTCCTTCTCTGATGTTTTTGAGTATATCTGTGAATAAAACATTGAACAAATTAAAATGTGTCTCCTCATGGCAGTGGCTGAGGGGGTTAACATAAAAAGCAGTGCAAACTGGCCGTTATGACTAACTGTATTTAAAAAAAGGGAGTGTATATGACTTCTATCAACAAACACGTCAAAATGCGTCAGAAGACTAACCGAGTTATTGCTGAGCCCTATCTGACTGAGTGCTACTCCACTAACAGTATACAAACAAGCTAACAGGAAAACCTGAGCAGCATTATTTTTGTTACCATTTCCCATGTGCTTTAATTTACATTCTGGGCATTTACAGTAATTGGCAGAGTAAGACTATAATTGTTCCTGATATTAATTGTTGGACTAATGAGGAGCCTGGAGCCAGCTCTCATTGGAAAGGGAAATTATTCTTATCCCCTTCCAAAAAGAAGCCAATGTTTATACTGAGGCTGCAGTGTACATTGGTTCAATAATGGGATGGCTCAGGAGTCGGATCAGACTCTGAGTGGAGAACTCGGCAGCGCTGTGACTCGGCGACATGCTGCAGTGACCTGGATCAGGTTATGAGCCGGCTGACACTCTGGGAGTCTAGGGGTTTAGTTTACTTTAGTTGATGAAACACGGTGAAACAAGACAGAAGATAAAAGGAGAACAAAAGGAAGTACAAAAAATTGAACATTTGAGCAGATGAGATTAAACCCCGAATGTAGAAACTCACTCCTAATCATTTTAAATTCCTGCAGGGCTCAGCTCGGGTTTATTGAGCATTTGTCGAGTGATGAGACCTTTCTGCAATTACGGCATTGTCCAATCTAAGAGGGAACAAATGATTCCTAAAATGTCTGAAAATCACATCTGACCTCGGTATGCGCTGCTCTGAAAATATTTGAATTTCTTTGACAGCAGGGTGTCAGAGTGTGAGAGAGGAGGGATACAAAAAATAAGGAGAGAAACACAGGATGAAAGAATTGCAACAAAACAAAATAATCAGCGGGGGGGGGGGGGCCAAGGTCACCGAATGTGAGAGCGGCTGACTTAGAGAGAGAGACAATGCTGCAGAGGATTGTGGGAAATATTACAAATAAATAAAAAATAAAATATATCATGCCAGATCTGATAGAAAACATAAATGTATGCAGAAAATAACCTCCTAATGTTATTAAAACACCACCCTGTCCTCTCCCGCACTCATAACTCTGTTTTTAAGTTTAAGAAATCCAATCATTTCTATACGTCTCAAACTTCAAGCCCGATCTCTCAAACAAAGGCGGGCGAATTTGATTTGAGGGAATTCAGGAGCTTTGTGCCGATGAATAAAACATCGCGTCTCCTTGATGTTACCCGGACTTATCAAGTCACAGATCCCCCCCTTTGAGCTCGCTGGTGACAGAGTGCAGGAACCCCGGCGCAGGATGAAACAGAGGAGATGAAGTTTCTACAGTATGTCTTCAGATTGGCTGCGAAGAAAGATAAGTGCACAGAAGATACATTCAGGTACACCGAAATGAAAAGAGAAAGAGTTGATCTTCAATTTCATCTCATGTGTCATGAACAACGCTATGTAAAGATTAGTAAAACAGCGTGGGAGCCGGTACACACAACTACACATTCCTACTTAATCCACAGTTTTACAGGCGGAGTGTGATTAGTGGCTGTGTTTAGCATTCATACATATTTAAGTGTTCTGGAAGCTGCTGTAGGTCAAATTAGTAATTGAAATGGGACTTAAAGTAAGCAATCAAAAGTGGAATGAGCAGTTTTGAGGCCAGAGATTGAAAAAAGGGACACCCACCCACGTGGAATCATTCAAACTGTCAGTGCGTGGTGTTGAACATGTAGGCGGCTAAATCGCTGCTAAAATGTAAAGTAACAACGTACTATTCCCACTGGGTCTCTTTGTAGTTCACCCCCGACGCCTTTTAAAATCCTGCAAAACTAACTAATGCGAAAACTTCTAAGGCTTCATGGATATTAAAGAGATATTTAGACTATTACAAATATAATGGATGAAATACAGCATGTTATATAGGTAAAGTACACAGCAGAATCAGCAAACACTAATCCGAGTATTCAAGACTTTAAAGGTTTAAAGGTTTTGAAAGGTGTTTACAGCAGCAAAAACAACAACTTTTTGAAGTGTTGTTATTTAAACACTAATCACGCTAACTAGTAGGACATTTTTGTAATTAAATAACATACGCACTACAGTGTTAGCCTTTTCAAACATGGCTCCAGGGAGGGTGAAGCCGGTCTTTAAAAGTGTTGTTAATTTGCAAATATTAGCTTGCTAAAATGCTGCACATGGGAAACATAGCCTACATGCTAAACAAGTTAGCAAGCTGACTTTAGCCTTTAGCTTGGCTTTACACTCTTAGCTGTTGTCACCATGCTTACACTACTAGGGTGTTAATATATAAACATATCTCTAAAATAATATACAATTAATGACAAAGTCAACTGCTTTATACTGTTTTTTAAACATAGCAATGATTTTGTAGCATAGGATAGACATTAAAATACATAACGGTAAGTGCTGATAAATTAAGTGACATGATTGTTTTACATTATTTGATAAAAGCCTATATTTAGTTGAATTGAATACTCATTTACTGCAGTCATCCAGTTTGGCTTTAGCACTTTAGCATCACAGTTCATTTAGCTTATTAGCTTTCTCTTAGCTTAATTGAATCAGGAAATATGTAATATTTTTTTCTAGTTATTGAGAAACCTGAACAATTAGCATTCCTTTGCATTGATTGTAATACAGAACAGATTCGATATTCATGTCGACTCATTCCTATTGTAAGTGGAAAAACTACCTAATCTAGAGATCCATATACTTAGATACAGTAGGCCTACATAACACACCAAGCTACATTAATGTATCTGCATCTACATACAGTGCCAACATGCCGAAGTCTCCCCTCTCCTCAGCAGATGGCAGCCTTGCACTGTGCAGGCTGACACACTGCCTGTCTGAG